ACAGCATTGCCTGCCATCAGTGCCAAAGCTGCTCTTCCCTTCCTGATGTCCCGTTTTTAGAAGGGATGGCTGTTCAAAGAAAACAGAAGAGAAGCAAAAAATAGAGTTGATGGGGAAATGAGAGGAGTCAGGATGCAGAAAACTTGCCAACCCCCTCGAGGTCTTCTTGTTTAAAGTCTGTTCAAAACTAAGCTGGAGACAGAGCTGCAGTGAGATTGTTCACTGGGGTGAGCCCTCCTTGTAGCACGGCAGCTGCACTGGGGTTTAGTGCTGTGTTAAATGTTACTGAAGAATATCCTCTGCTGTCACTTCGAGTGATCTCAATACCCCTGAAAGAAATTTCTAGATCACAGGGTAACTGTCACTTGCCTGAAGTTCCCATGGCCCCAGTTTTGTGACTATTTTTGGAACCATAAGTGGCATTGTAAGATTTTAAAAACACGGCACAATTTAGTGTGTCCCTAATTTTTGTTTGCATTATACCCTAAATTCTGCAGTAGACAGAAATTAATTTATACAATAGATATTTAAGACAGTGTTAACTCAATTTTCAGTAAAAACAATAAGATTTCTTGAATTTTTTTGTTTGATATCAGTATTGGCTTAAATTTGGACGTTATTCTGGGATGTTCAAATGATAAATCAATCAACTGAAAATGTTCCTGTAATTGTAGTTTTTTCATGTACAACCTTCTACTGTATCAAGTTTTGTGTCACTTGTGAAAGAAAATCTTGAACATGAAATTTATGGAAGATTTCTCAAAAGCAAACATCTTGAACTAATAAGGAAGATCACAGAAATGGAAAATGTTTGGATGCTGTGATTTTTAGTATTCTTCCTTTTAGGCTCTGTTTGTTTGATCCAACCTTATTTCCTTTTCATTAGCAGTTGACATGGTAGATGGAAAGAAGAGTAAAACCCTTTCAAGAACTTTTGTTCTTTATATTATTGTCTATATATGGTCCAACTGATGCCTTAATTCATCTTCATTTAATTTGGACTTTTACCATAATGCAATAATTCGTATATCATTCTGTTCAGAAAGAACAGATGTTGTGTTTGTGGTGTCTGCTTTATTTTCTGAAGTTGTATATTTCATTTCATAGGGAGATATAAAATATAATTTATATGATCACTTTAACTGGGTGGGTGAAAAAGTTTGGGGGGGTGTATGATGAGGTGATGGGAAGGTGGATATATGAGAGATGAGATTTTTCTGGTGCCATGGTGTATTGTATTTTTGTCCTGCATCTTCCAGATTCGTCCATGAAGAGTGGATTATTCAGGTTTTGCAGAAACAGGATACTCTGTACTAATTCATATTTTTCTCTGAAATGCTTCTGAGCCCATAAGTTTATGGCATAAAACTAGATGATGAGATAATATGTGTGTGTTCACATGTGTATGATACCATGAGAAACCACAAAACCAACCCACCCAAACACAAGCTGACTTATTTTAGATGTGTTCAACCTAAACTTTAAAAAGGAGCTAAAATGACCCCAAACCTCTACAAGAAACTAGGAAGCCACTGGTGACCCTTCACATTGTGTGAACTGTTGAAGGTGGAGTTCTCTGCCTGCCCTGGGGTGAGTGGTTACCAATATCTACTTAACTAGACTTAGAGGACTCAAAATCTACCCTCTCCAACCAACTAAATATTCAGTTTGAACTATTATATGGTGGTGGATAGTTTGGAAAAGGGAGGAGAAATTATGTATATGCAGACTAGGCTTTCCCAGATCCAGAAATCTGTGGTTTATGCCTGGCATTTCTCAGCCCAAAAGGTCAGTAGGCCATTATGGTATATAATTTAGTCAACTTTAGATCCACTTATTATTTTGAGTGTTTTAAGTTTGTTTTTTTTTTTTTTAAGCTTACACACTTTGCATAAAAACTTTATTTATGTAGTGTTGAACTAATGGTTTAAGATTTACTCAATTACCTTAAAATGCTTGAAACAATAGGACGTTGGAAATTCTCTGGTAAAGAGCCTAGTTTGAGCAACACATGGATGGCTGGACTTAAATATAGTAGTTCAGCAAAACCTCCTTGGAGTTCCTTTATCACACTTGCATGAATGTGATTTGCCTCTCAAATCTCATTTACTGACACTGAGATGGGTTCTTTAATTCCTGTCTCACAAAGGAACAAATGACCTTCTGTAAGTTCCCATGTAGGGAAAACTGATATGAATTATTTGGCTTTCTTGTTATTTCTCTGTTTCCCTGGAACTTTCCTATCTGAGCATCGTTCTGCACAGTCCTACTGATTGTAACATGTTAAAAGAAAAAAAATGCAAGTTTTCAGATCTTCAGCAAATTGCTCTTCAACAACTTGAGTGTTGCTTTATTTTTCCTTTTAACTTTAATTTGATGTTACCTCAAATTTTCCAGAGCTTATGCTTTCTTGGTGTCCTTACTTGGATGCAGTTTCCAGTATTTGAAGCTTGCTGTTTTAATTCAAATATTTTTGTAATCTTTAATTGTGTTTGGCTTTCATTGCTCCAGTAGTCTCTTTGATACTGTCCTGTATTAACTCTGAAGACCTAATGCTCCCTTTTTTTACCTTAATGTTACCTTCAATCTTTTTATACTAATATCTTATTCTTCCAAGTTTTCAAAGTACTGTAATAATTCTGTAACTTCAGTTTTTACTTTTTTTACTGAAAGATTTCCCTGGAGAATTAACTTAAAATTGACAAGGAAAGAATTATTTCTCCTACACGTCTATTTTGTGTAGTGTTTGAAGAGAAGGAAATAAATGTCATAATGATGAATAATTTTCAAGTGTTCATATTTGGGAATTTTTAATATTAGTGTTGGTGTTTAGTCCTGAAGAGCAGCTTGTGTAGGTCCTTTGTGGCATGAATTGTTTTATTGGCAAAACTTTGGTTCTGCTGCCAAGAGAGATTGCAGGAGGCTTGAATGTTTTTTCAGACAGTTGTTTGGGTTTGCTGTGGCATAAATAACAAATTCTCTCCATATTTTTTTTTGTAAACATTATCTACACTTGAGGTCTCCCAGATCATCACATTGTATCTACTGGAGTGGCAGAGGTTGTCTGTGACTTTACAGGTCTCGTCCCACCCTCCCAGTGATGAGATAGAAACTGATAAAAGCTTTCTTCCACCTTTCTTTTTCATTCCTTTCTACCCACAGGGTTGCTGCTGACTTGAGTCCTGTCTTTCCAGTTATTTCTTTCTTGTGAGTTGGGAAGGAAGGGAGTTTCTAACGAGAGCCATGACTCCTTATTTGTTCTAAATTCTTGAGTTCTGACATGTTTGCTTCAGGCACTCAGCCACCTTCCCGCATTCTTCTCTATGTTCAATAGTCACTGGGGCTTTACACAAAGAGTGTGAAAACTCTTAAAATATGTATTAAAAAACCCTCCATCCCCGCTATTGCTTTTTATTTTTGCTGAAAGACGTGGAACTGTCCCCCAGCAATGCTTGCTTGTCATGTGGTTATTATCATTTTTGTGACCTGAACCTCAACCTCCTGTGCTTGTCCTGGGAGTGTTCCTGTCTCAAGGGTTGGCAACACATTCCCTCCTGTATGAGCTCTGAAAAGGCCATCTCTTGATATTCAAAGAGAGTCATATTATGAACCAGAGAACCTCTTTCCAAAGTGGAAGAACAGTCCTTAAACTCTTGGACCTCCCGAGTTTTATTGCCTTTGGAATGGACATTTCAGTCCAGCTGTAAATTATTGTGCAATAGGATAAATTCTCTTGGTTGCCCCAGACAGACAACTGGAGCTTGAACATCAAATTGTTTGAAGGATGGCTCTGACAACTCTCATCTCACCAACATACTCCTCTTTCTTCCCTTTTGGGGATATTTCTGTGTTGTTAAGTAGCTTTTTGGGAAGCTTTGAATTTCAGAGTAGACTGGTAAGGCACAATTGAAACTGTATGATTGTATTTGGCATTTTGGTATCTGGTTCTGAGAATTTTCTGATCGTTTTCCATGTATATTGTATTAGAATCACTCGATGCTGCTCTTTCTGCTTAGTTTCACAAGGAGGAAAAAGTTATAAATGAGAATAATTTGTTTGGAATATTAGTTAGAATAAAATGGTAATGAAAGAATATTAAAATGTAATTTAATTTTATTAATAATCAAAAATGAGCACATTATTAATGATAATTAATATTAATTTAGTTAATAAGAACATTAACTATTATAAATGATATTACTTGGAATTAGAATGTTTATTAGAATAAACCTTTGCAGTAAAGTTTCCACTCTGTACCTTTGTTAGTATTATTTTCTAAGGTTACCAGAAATGAAGTTGGTATATTTATACCAAATGCTTCTGGGGAAATGTGGATTTGAAGGATAGTAGCTGACAAATAAAAGGTTTTCTGTGAGAGGTGCCTGTGTTTGTCTGTCTTACAGAAGGGAGAGAGTTGGCTTCTCTCTGTCAGAGTGGTTGTTCTGGTGGTTAAATGCTCTAATTGCTGCTTGCTCTGGTCTGTGGACAAGCCAGTGATTGTAGTTAATGGAATTGCACCTTGCAGTTTAAATTTTTGCTCGTAAATTTGTTTCTTAAAGAGATCATGCCAAGGTAATTTGAAATAATAAGACTTTTTTTTATGTGAATGCTCAAAGAGCTGAAACATTCTGTGACTTTTTCCTCAGAATTGAATCTGAAAGCTCCAGCGTGAGAAAACATATATATACAGGTGATCGAATGCTGTGGGGCTTGATATTTTACAGGTCATAATTGTCATAGAACTTCTCTTTAGGATATACCCTTCTGTTTAGTTTTAGTAAAAAAAAAAAAAAATCCAGTTATTAAAAAAGATTTTTTTTTTTAATTAAAACCATAAGATACTCTTAAAATCAGAGTAGGATATAAAACCTGTATGGAAATGTGTGGGGTTTTTTTAATCTATATTTATATTTTTTATAGATATGAATTCTGATAGACATATAATAACTCGGTGCTGTGTTATTGAATTTGTGCTGTTCTTTTTTCCCCGATCTGAACAGCACCAGGCAGTGCCATCTACTCCTTGATGTCTTCAATTCCACAGAGCATGAGTTGACCATCAGTGCTAAGAATAATGAAGATTTAATCCTGCACGCTGGGGAGTGTCAGCGGTGAGTGTTCTCAGCACTAAAAGGGCCCTGGGTTTAACCCTGCTATTTGTTTATACACCATTGATGACATCTGGGGCCTGTTTTTCTTTTTAATTTCACACATGTCAAAGAGTACGAGTTTTTGCTTTCTTTAAGGTGGATCACTAAGTTTTAGCAATATTTCAAGCGAATTTATTTTGGCTCTGAATCTGGTAGTACTGAAAATAACAAAATATGAGCTAGTTGGCACTGAGGTGTACAGCTCATTGAACTTGCTTTTGTACAATGTTTTAATATCATTTTCCTGTGCTCTCACTGTAGTTCTGATGTTAAAACCTGATCTCGCTAGTTCGTTATCCTTTCTCAGTTTTAAATTTTCTTTCTGTGGTTTCCTAGCCCTTTCATCACCTTTCCTACAAAGCAAACTGCAGGAAGGAAAAATAGAACTGAAGAAAAAGCAATCCCAATCTCTGTGGGAAAATATATTTCAGATTAAGTAGGCTGTTGTGAGTATTGATTCTTAGAACCCCACTACAGTGATGTACAGCTCATTTTGTAGCTAACTACGACCATTATTTTCCATAATATATCTGCCCAGAATTCCTGCTGCTGGCTCTACCCTACATTGCTTGGTTTATCTTCGTCAGATGATCATTACATCTAGACACCATTTTCATCTTAAAAAAGATGAAAATGTGAAAAAGGGAATATTTATTTTTGGTCCCGGGCTCCCTGCACCGTTGTCTTCTTTGGGAGAGTTGTGCTGCACTCTGAAGTCATGGAATTGATAAACTTCATTAAAGGGAGATACTTTCATGTCTTCAGATCTCAGTGTGAATATTGAATTCAAAGTAAAACCACATCTATTACAAGGAATGCAGTTGTCAAAAAGAAGTATAGAATAGGTAACAATAGCAGTAAATTGGGAATGATTTTTGCCTTGGTGACTCCCAAAGCTCAACAAAGAGGAAATACATCGACTCAAACCCAGGTTGAATTTTCTCAATTTTACTTTGCCAAGGAATGGACAGAAATATCAGTAACATACAGTGCTTGTTACTTTTATTTGGAAAGAATTGGCTTTTTTCTTTTTTAAAAAGCAGTCTAGTCATCAAAATGTTCTGGTTCTTGTCTGTATTGTTTTGTAATTTTGTTTTTATGCCTCTTGCTTTTTCCCATTATTTTTGTAGTTGGTAAACCTCTTGAAATTTTTCATTCCCACTTTTTGGAAGTACATGTAACAAATAGAAATAAGGTTATAAAATTCCTTTGCATCCTCTTGATTGAATTACTTTTATTTTTCTATGGACTTAATAATTTGAGCTTAAATATCCTTAAATCATTATGTAGTAAAAGATACAAACTCTTTCAGTAAGTCTTTTGAAACAGTCATTTATTAAGGCAGATCAGGTATTTGTTGCAAGTATTTAAACCTTTTAAGGATGAGGTTTTATTCTTGTTGCAAAGTATTTTTTTCCTGTTGGTTAGAAATTGCACTGAGTTTTCTGTTGGTTCTAAATTCATTTATTATCTATTTCTTGAACAATGATTGCTTCTAATTGTAACAGTATGTCTATAGCTCACATATTGCTCAGAGTTTTAATTTTTATTCTGGTGGATCTACTACAGAAAAGCAGGTGTAACATACACTGGGCCTTAAAATTAGCTTCCTCCTCTTAAAAAAAGCCTTTTGTTACTCTTACAAAAAAAAAAAAAAAAAAAAAGAGAAACCTTTGCCATGTTCACCACTCTTTAAGCAATGGTTCTAGATCTTTGGTTTTTAACATACGAAAATCATTGTCAGGAATTTGCATTTGAACCAAGGTTTTAAATCCAAATATACAATGTTTTTCATCCTGTTCTTGAATTCTCCTTTTATAAATTTTTTTTCTCTGGACATTGATTTCTGTTAATATCTGATTAATATTTAAAGAGAGGCTTTTCCGTCACCTTCATTTTCCCCCACCTCCCCTGCCCTGTACCTTTTTGATTCCGTCCTCATTTTCAGTGTTTTCCTCACTCCATATCTATTTAAATTATAACTTTTTTTGCCAGCTTTGGCCACTTTCACTTCTTTTTGTAATTTACTCTCCTCCCATTCATCTCCATCATTGTGAAATCTCCCCTTCTGACAAAGTGTAGGGAGCAGGAAATTGTTTTCTTCATCCCTGTTGTGAGACTGAATGTGTTTTCTGCCCACAGACCTCCAGAGAAGGATAATGGTGCATCCTGCTCCCTCTCCCCTCTTTGCTTCCCACTTTGGATGCTTAGAAAGTCCATGCACGGCAGTCCCTGGGATCCATCTTGTAGTATCCATATTACTTGGTGCATTCCAACCTCCTCCTGTTCTCTGGCTTCTTTATGTTTAAGTAAAATGGATAAAATATGTAGAATACTACATAATCTTTTGATTTTAAGGTCTGAAGAGGAGTTTGCTTCAACCAGCTTAGAGACAGGGCACTAACAGCTGCCTACAGCAGGAAAAAATGGTATTCTACTAGGAAGGAAAAGTGACATCCTTTGGGGCATTAAAAGACCATTTGGAAAATAGATGGCTTTTTCTGCAGTAAGAGTATTCTACTGACTAGTGAAAATTATCATTTTAGCTTTCAGAAAAGCTTAAGCTTACAGTTTGCTGTATTTTTTAAGCCGGTAATTGGGATTATTTACTATGTGCATTGTAACTGTTCTTGGAGACTTATGTATATAAGCAGTGTTTCCGAGAAGAGACACTCTTTTCCCTTTCTTTTAGGATAGAGAAACACATTTTACTCCCTGTCATTTTATAGTGGGCTCAGTGATTATTTTGTTCACTCATTTTTCTGTCTTTCGTCGTTGCGTGTTCAGCAGACACACAAACGAAAGGATCAGCCTTTCATTTTTTTTTTTCTCTGTATCCCAAGATGTTAATTAGAGATCTTCATATTCCCCTCCCTGGTTTCCACATGAAATGAAATGTTCCTTTGTATCCCATTGTGGGACAATTAGTAACATGCTCTACTTTGAGGTTTTTTGTTCTCACAGGTTTGTGGTCAGGAGGGGAGAGAACCATGACTCAGTTAAGGAGAGAAGGAGAAGACAGGAATTTGTCCTCCTTCACCTGCAAGGTTGTATATTGCAGAAAAGAGAGGAGAAAGAGTTTTGAAAGGTTATTTGTTGAACTCCTGAAAATAAATTTAAGGTTCATTACAAAGCTAGATTCAAAATTGAATTATTTTTTTGCTGCTTTACATCCTCAGGAGTTTCTTTAATATCCACGGGGAAATACACTGGAGAACTGGTATCCTGACAAAAATCTGTCAGACAAGTTGCTCTGTGGAAGTTCTGGGGGCAGTGAGTGATGCTGAGGTATTGGCAAGGTCTTCAGTTAACTTAAAATATGTTTGTTACACCACACTGGGGTGTCAACATGTTTTTCTAATCTGTCCAGTTGAACATGCTACGTGTGATGATGAGGGAAGCAAATTCCCTCGTGTGCTCTTGGAAAGTTCAGCCTTCAGAGGTTTTTCTAGACTAACTGAGCCTCCTGTCTGCAAAGCAGTCTTGGAATATTCAGCTGCACTGCTAAAGGAGTTTTACGAGAAGACAGAAATGTTTTGAATGTAATCAGAGGTGAATCTGAGCTTGTTTATCCCAGTGATTTGGTAACCAACAGGTTGTTCTGACATGGAAAAAATATAGCAGACAGCGCTTGGAGGGGAATTGTATTTTGCATGGGAACAAAAAAGTGTTGCCACTAGCAGTGATTTGAAGTTATTGAAAACCATCGGTACAGTAATTATTGTGTTTCTTACTTGATTATCAAACCATTAAAATTAAATTTCATGACAACCCTCATTTATGCGTAAATCGCTTCATAATTTGTGGTAATAGATGTTATCTCATTATGTGCCCCAGGATATCTCATTTTGTACAACACACCCTGCCTTGCCTTTACATTTCTGTTTTGCGCGCGGTGTGTCTGGCACTCGGGGATGGGGAACATCAGTGGTCATGGGAGATGGATCGTGGGGATGGGCGGAGGAGATCAATCCATTTTGAACTCTTCCATGTGTGAGGGACCCCACAGTTGCCTGTGGATTTAGACATTAGAAATTTCAGACTCTTTTGGCCTTAGCATGAGGACCAGAGGGATTAAAGCTTGGGACTGCCCAGGAATAGAACTGGAGGGAGGAGTTAGGAGATGGAGAGCAAACAGGACCTGGATCGAATGGTGCCGGTCTTGGAGGAGCTGGGAAGGATATGAAGCATCTTCCCCACAGAGGGGATATCTTCTCCACTAGATGCTGGGAATGGAACCTAAAACTTTTGGAGCAATTTATTCCTTGAAAACAGTAATCAGCCCTGAAGTTTCCGGACAGGTGTATCGCTGGAACAGGTCATGGGAAATGAGGAAATAGTTTTATGGGTAGTTCAAATGGCACAGGCTTTTGTGCAAAATGTACAAGTTCTGAGAAGTGCTGGGTGTCCTGGGGGAATGCTGATGTGAAAAAAGGTGGCGGAATTTTGGCTTTTTAATTTTTTTAATTGGCAGTTGCCTAATTAAAAATAAGCTAGAGAAATACTGCAGGAGTAAAGTCAACACTCAAGTTCAGAACTGCCAAACTTCCTTCTGGGTCAGCAGTTCCTGCTTTTTAGCAGGGTTAGAGGGTTAAATGGATGAGTTTGCTTACACATGTCCTCTACAGTAAGTTTTGTTGCTTTTTTTCTTCATAGTCAGCAGAATCGTAGGCACTTTTCTGAGTTTTGCTAAGTGAACTTTTGTGTGTATTGACTTAACCTGGTTTTAATTTTTTTTGTTACATTCTAATGAGACAAGAATAATTAAAGAAACAAATTCTTATTTTAATTTTTGTACATCTCATCACATAATACCATGTTTCTTTCATCCATGAAAAGCAAAGAATTTGTTAAAAGTCCTTTGTGTGCATACTATTAATGAGTGCCATTTCTGCTGCTTAATTATTTGATGTAAATGTGTTGATTAATTGAGTTGTGAAGTCTATGATGTCTTATACTGC